ACCGAGCCCCAGGATGTCCTTTCTCGGCCTGGCCCCAGGGGCCCTTTGGCCACTTTCTCTGCTTAGCACGGGGGTGGTGTGCTCTCATTTCCCAATGAGGAGCCTGAGACCCAGCCAGTCGTTTGCCCTCCCTGAGCCTCAGTTTCCTCATCTGGAAAGTGGGGGAATCGTGTAGGGCAGCGGTTCTCAACCTGTGGGTCACGACCCCTTGGGGGATCGAATGACCCTTCACAGGGATCGCCCAACTCATCACCTTAGCAAAATGACAGCGATGAAGTAGCACCGAAAATAATGTTAGGGTTGGGGGGGTCACCACCACACGAGGAACTGTCTGAAAGGGTCCCGGGTGAGGTCGTTGAGAACCACTGGTGTAGGGGATCACCTCAATACCATAGAGGTCTCCAAGGGAGTGTCAGGCAGGCCCCGGCAGTCACAGAATATGGGGTCCCAGTCAAAGGACGCGGGCAGGGTGTGGGGGGCAGTTTCTTTCAGCTGCCCTGGTTTGCACAGCCCCTCCGGGCAGATAGCAAGAAGGGCAAGCTCTCCAGAGCCACCCACACTTAAAACAAGTATTTGATGTTACGGGTGGGGATGAGGGCGGGGCATGTGCCAGAGTGGTGGCACCAGCCCAGTCCCTTTGTCTATTTAAAACAGCAACCTGCTGCTCCCTGACCTGGGGTTCCCACAGCCCCTTGGGAAGGCTCTGAGGCTTCGCTCATCCTGTCCCTTGGGTGCTAAGCATTGATTCCACTCACCTTCGGATGTCCTGAGCCCCGTCCACCTCCCTGCACCCCACGGTGCACACTCTCCCTTGCTCATCACTGCGACAGCCACGTGGGCTTCTTAAACCCACCGGTCTGGTCTCACGCTTTCCCTGCTCACATAGCTTCCATGGCTCCCCAGCACCCCCAGGACCAGCCTGGCATTCAAGGTCTTGTAGAGACCTACTACCATCCCCTTAGACATCACCCCCTCCCCAAATTCTATTGTACGAGTGACCTGTGACTGCCGTCACAAAGGGCCCCACACTGGGGGTGTCAGACCACAGCCAGAGTCCGAACTCCAGCTGTCAGCAGAGCCCACCTCCCTCCAAAGTTTCAGAAACTGTAACTCCTTATGGGAGTAAAAACCCTCATCTTTCTTCAGTGGAGCAACTGATGGTTTCGAACTGCTGACCTTGCGGTTAGCGGCCCAAAGGGTAATTGCTATGCCACCAGGACTCTAAACAGCCCTTGTTTTCTCCCCTCCAGGCCTTAGCCCTTGCCGCCCCTTCCGGCTGAACCTGTCTTCTCCCCTAGGTGAACTCCTGTGCTTGAGTTTCCAGAGCTGTGATCCTACACCCTGCCTCTCCCCAATTCTAAGGTTTCTGGTGGTTGAGGGGGAAGCCTTGCAGGTTCCCTGAAAGCACCCTGAACCTATACGTTGAATGAAGGGGGGACTCGGTGAATGATTCTCATGTGGACCTTTTGGGAGAAGACCCCTATGATCATTCTCAGGCCACCTCAGGGCAACTGGCTGGACCTCACCTTCACAGACTATAAAATGAGGGGGGGGGGCATTGCTGCTTCCCTGCAAGTTATTCAGAACCCCCTCAGACTTCCAAGGGAGCCACTCTGTGGCCTTCATTCTGTTTTATGGGCTAGACCCATGGGCAGTAAGTAGGCAGCAGAATCTAGGGTCAGGGAGCAAGGAGTTCAACCCAGGTGAGGGGAGGGTGTCCCCCAGCCCCCTCAGTGGACATCTCAGAACTGCAGCTCGGGAGGTAGAAGGGGCACTGCTCAGGGGCATCCTCCCCCTGGCCCTTCCAAGCTCCTTTAGAACAGAGGCCGTGAGGACAGGTGTGGCCCGGAGAGGTGCCTGTCCGTTTTATAAGACAAAGCACAGGAGCCCTCCGTAAGCTCAGCCTTGGGGAGAGAGCAACCTGGAGCTCCTCCCGTGTGTCAGCCTCCCGTGGGCAGCTGGGACGATGGCAGAGCTTCCTGTTTGAGGTTTTCCTTTTTGGCTTGAAGTTTTAGGAGGTACCTACAAAACAAAACAACACTAGCAACCGCTGCCACAGCGGTGAGTCTGACTCACAGCAAGCCAGGCTGAGCAGCTCTGTGAGAGCCGTCCTTCTCCCTGGGGAGAGGAGCAGCGGGTGGGCTTGAAGCCCTGGCCTTGGGGTGAGCAGTCCAGCGCTCCCCAGGCACCAGCACCAGGCCTCCAGTAAGGCTGATGAGCTGAAGGGGATCTGGCTGCCCCCATTTGGGAAGGGGATCATTTGGGAAGGGGATCATTTGGGAAGGGGATCTGGGCTGCACTCACTGTTCCAGGCCTGGGAGGAGAGCACACCTTTCTGCTCGGGCTGGGGGTCCCCCCCCCACCACATCCTGTGAGGGCTCAAGGAAGACTCCTGGGATCCCTCTCTGTAGGGAAACCATAGATGTTGGCAGAAACAAGTTGGGGACGCAAGCAGCAAGGGTGAAGTGCCTCCTATACAAAGAGTTCTTGCAAATAAACAACACAGGGAAAAGCACAAGGCTCTGAGCAGACACCAGTGGAACCCTAAAACTACCTTTTTAAAAAACTCAAATAACATGCGTGCTATCCAGGCCCCCTCAAAACCATACAGCCTCCTGTAGATTAGTTTTCTATGCACACTATGCGTGTTATCAGGGTGTGCGTGTTATTTACGTGGGCCTGTTATAGGAGGAAGACAAAGCCAGTGCCCCATCCAAGAGATTCGGTCTTGCCCATAGGGTTTCCAAAGCTGTGATCCGCGTGCCCCAGGTCAAGAGGTGAGAGGACTCCCAAGAATAGAAGCCACCAGATTTGAGAAACGAGTCTGTCTGCTGCCTGCCCTGTCTTTCCTTCTCTGCCCTCCTCCCAGGGCGGGCGTTGCTTGGTTTTCAAACCAGCTGTCTGTCGGGAGGAGCCTGGCTCTGGCAGCCCTGCAGTGACACCTTCCCCAGTTTGCCCTTCACATCCTGGTGTGATGTGACCCACACCCAGAAAGTGACCTTTCCGGAACAGCCAGCATTTCACCACTGCGCCCCAGGGCTCCTCCCCCAGCCCCAGTGGCCAGCTTGAGCAGAGTTATAAATATTCGTACTGAACAAGAGATCGATCTCCGTGACTGTGAGCCTTTACTTGGAACGGACAAAACACCTGGACCGGCCCCAGCACCAGACGCGACGCCCCCTCAATGACCCACAGCGCTACAGGGGACAACACTGGAGACACAGTGCGGGAAGTGTGTCCAGTCTGACCACCACCCCGCCCGCCCCCGGGGCAAATCACAAAGGGAGCACAACAGAGCAGCAAGCGGGGCAAAGTCACAAAGTCCCTGAGGACTCCTGAGAATAGACTTCTGACCGAGGCAGTCCTTGGCCCCACACCAGACCTGGCTGGGGGACAGTCATAAAAGTCAACAGATAGGCTCACTTCCTGTGAGACAGGCTTGCTGACAAGACATATGGAGCTACGCTAGAGCCTGGAGCTGAAACAGCCACGTGAAGACCCCCGCCAGCTCTGAGAACCTCTACTGCCACGGATCCACAAGACTTTCCACCTACTGGCCTGTGATCTTCCTGAATTCGGCATCACTGCTGGTGTTGTGGGAGAGCATGAACGCAGCCCCCCACAACCACAAATTATGCAGTCGAGTTTCCCACATTTGGGGAAATCGCAGGAGTCAGCACATCCGGAGTGCAATGGATAAGCCTTGCCCTGGGAAAACCACCTTCGTGATCATGGTAGCGCCCTTGACCCGTCCCAGAAATAACACACCACTTGGGTCTCTATCCAGCCGTCATGAATTTCACGAGTCGGGATGCATTTATTGACATTTGAGAAATTGTGTACATCACATGCTTTCACTGACCAAAACCCATTTACACTTTTAAAAAAATGGCACTTCACATTATGTTCTGGAGAACATTCGAGAATCCAGACAGCAGCTAATGGTCTTACTCCCAGGTGTGCAGCTGTTGGGTCTTGAGCAATTAATGTAACCTCACTTTTTGATCTCTGAAGACAAACTAGTAAACCTGAAGAAAATCCAGAAAAAAAAAAGTCAACAGATAGACCTGGAGCTATGTAGGGGACTTAAAATATATATATGATACCAATGGGACCAAGGGTTCTTGAGTTGCATGGGAGAGGGTGGGGGGCAAGGGAATGGGTAGCCAACAATCTCAGGGACTGGGGAGCGACAGGGATCTAAATCCGACGACGAGGAGGGTGTACAATGCCTGGTGGTGTCTGATCAAGTGCATTGTAACCGAGAGGAAGCACTGAGAGTGAATGAAGGGTGACCAGGACAGTGGTAAAAGGAAATGGAGGAAAGAACTAGGCGGTCAAAGCTATACAGAGAGGTATAGAGACATGTCTATGTGTAAATATATTAATATAGAGAGACAGGGGGTTAGTCTATGTGCATATATGTATATGTTAAAAGTATTAAGGTAGCAGACGGACTCTGGGCCTCTGCTCAAGTCCTCCCTCAACACAAGAACCCTTTCTTCTAATAACCTGGCCCTGGATGATGCTCATCATCCTGACACAATCACTGAAGACAAAGTGGGTGCACAAGAAAATGTGAAGAAAACTGATGGTGCCCGGCTATCAAAAGATAGAGCATCTAGGGCAGGGGTCCTCAAACTACAGTCTGTGGGCCACATGCGGCCCGCCGAGGACATTTATCCGGCCCGCAGGGTGTTTTTGCCGCTGCTGCCTGTCCTGCTTAGCAGCCGACTCGTCCAGTGTGCATAGGAATTTGTTCATAGTTTTCTTTTTTAAACTATAGTCCGACCCTCCAGCGGTCTGAGGGACAGTGAACTGGCCTCCTGTTTAAAAAGTTTGAGGACCCCTGTTCTAGGGTCTTAAAGGCTTGAAGTTAAACAAGCAGCCATCTAGCAGGGAAGCAACAAAGCCCACAAGGAAGAAGCACACCAGCCTGTGTGACCACAAGGTGTCGATGGGATCAGGTATCAGAAGATCAAAAACAATTATACCAAGGTGAAAGAAAAGGGTCAGAGTGGAGACGCAGAGCCGTCTGTAGACAAATTGGACATCCCCTCACAGAAGGGTCACATGGAAGGGATGATTCACCCAGGGTGCAGTACAGCAACGATGAAACATACAGCATTCCTCTAGTTCTTTGCTGCTTTCTCCCCCTACCGAGTTCTACCTTACAAATCCGGCTAGACCGGATTGTGTATATTGGTCCAGACGAGTGCTTTTGACACACGGATTCCAGGACAGATAAAACCCTCAGAAACAGTAATGGGAGTAGCGTTACCATGAGGGTGGGGGGAGCAGGGCGGGGAGGGGGGGTAGAGGGGGGAACTGATAACAATGATAGATGTATAATCCCCCCACCCTGAGCGAGGGGCATGAATAACAGAAATATGAGTGAGAGGATACTGTGGACGGTGTAATAAATGAATATATATATATATATAAAATTTATTAAGGGTTCACGAGGGCTGCAGGTGGGAGGGAGGGAACACATAGGAGCTGATATCAAAAGGCTCAAGTAGAAAGACATTGTTTTGAAAATGATGGCCACATATATACAAGTTCACTTGATATAATTGATTTATGGATTGTTCTAATATCAGTAAGAGCCCCCACAAAATGATTAAGTAATAATAATAATAAAGAAAGATGTATGCCAAGGCAAAACAGAAACAAAACACCTGCCTTAGCCACCTAGATTAATTCATTTTTTTAGTTAATTCAAAACCATTGTTTTATAAAATTCAATACATGTCCTAAAGCATGTAACTAACATACAAATAATTTATAATAGTGCCACAGATGATGAAGTAAAACAAATCTATATCCACTTGAGCTTTCACTTAGCCATAAGCCCTAACCTGAGAACTGATTAATTCTTAGGATGCAGACCTGCTTGATGCCCTCGTGGAAGGACCACTGACAATAAGGGTGCAGTAGCCAAGTGTGGTGAAGAAATCAGATGGTGCCCAGCTATCAGAAAGAATAACATCTTGGGTCTTGGAGGCTTGTCTTAAAACAAGCAGCCATCCAAATGAGATGCCAGCTAAGCCCACACAGAAGCACATCAGCCTGTGTGATCTACGGATTATTAAGAATAAAATCTAAGACCCGAGGAGGGAATCATAGTAGAGCTTAAGTTCTGAGCACCTGGATTACAGAAGGGTATGCAAGACAATGAAAGCCCCGAATCCATTTGCAGAGTCCCTGCATGAGTTATTTCTCCAGGGAACGCCCTGTGAGCATTGCCAGGGATGTGAACAGTCTCCTCCCAGACAGAGCACGTTGGAAAGTGAGGTCATGCAGATACAGTGAGGTTCAAATTTAGCACCTCGTCCTTTGTTCTCCCTTTAGACCCATTTGGGATCTGTTCTAGTTTTTATTATTTTCTGTTCTCTTTTGGATTCTTCTTCTTCTTATTGTTGTTGTTTGTTTTTCTTGTTATTGTGTGTGGGGGGTTGTTTTTGTGTGATTTTCTCTATATGATATCCAGAATAAATAAATCCATAGATTCAGTAACTGGATGAAGTCATGGTTACCCAGTGGGCTACTAAAGGTTACCCATTGGTCAACAGTTCGAAACCACCAGCCACTCCTTGGGAGAAAGATGAGACTTTCTGTGTCTATGAAGAGTTTCAATCTCAGAAACCCAGAGGGGCAGCTCTACGCTGCCCTTTAAGGTCACTATGAGTCAGAATTGATTCAATGCTAGTGAGTTCAATGTGGTTCAGTTTTTAGGGTTATCGCAGGGGAGGATGGGTGGAAATGGGGAGCTAGTAATAATGAGTATAAGAATGAAGAAAGTGTTCTAAAATTGATTGTGGTGATGATTGTACAACTCCTCGATACATTTAAACCATTGAGTTGTATGGTGTGTCAGTCTGGGTAAACTAGAGAAACAATTCCATAGATGCTCATATGTGTATACGAAAGAACTTTATATACAAGAGCAATTAAATGTTGAGAAAACACCCCAGCCCAGTCCACATCAAGCCCATAAATCCGATATTAGCCCATATATCCAGTACCAATCTGCAGTCTTCAGACTCACGAAACACATGCAATACACGGAATGCAGGAAGATCACAGGTCAGTGGATGGGAAGTCTTATGGATCCAGTGGTGCTGTTAGCATCTCAGCACTGGCAGGGGCCTCCACGTGGCTCCTTCAGCTACGAAAATGTGACTGCCTCAGGGTAGCTTCATGTGGCTTCTCCTCAGAAATATTCTCTTGAAGGGAGTGAGCCGAGAGTGTCCCCGCCTCCAGGGAGGAAGACAGGAGTTCCCAGAACCCTCAGGAGAAGGCCATGCCCACACCGAGGCCTCATTGGCTATACAGTGATTGACAGGCTAGACTCCACCCCTTCACTCGCCAACCTCTCAAACTGACAGCAGATTATCTAACTACCACAGATGGGATGTCAGTTATCTGTCAATGAAACGGTTAAAATTTACCAAGAAATCCATACCTAGATTTCTTTTTTGCTCGCCCTTGACCCTCCTCCACATCTCCCGTGTTTTGTGTTCTCTGGGCCACTTTCCATTTCGGTCTAGCTGGGGATTTTCCAACTCGGTCTGTTGACCTTTGTGGTTGTTGGTTGCCGTCAAGCCACTTCCGACTTCCGGTGAGCCTGGATCACAAACCGGAGCATGGGCCTGCCCGGCCCATCCTCAGGAGCTTTGTTCTGTTCAGTGCCTCTTTGTGACTATGGTATCAGTCCATCCCCAGCGATTCTCCAGTGGTCAGTCCTTCCGGAAGACATGTCCAAAACAAGCAGGTCAGCGTCTCAGGCAATCTTTGGTTACGTTGGGGTTTTCGTGGCTGAGATTTGGAAGTAGAAACTTTCCTCCTAGTCTGTCTTAGTCTGGAAGCTCCACGAAAGCCCGCCCACCTTGAGTGGCCCTACTGGTGTCCAGCATCTCAGCAACCGACAAGTCACCACAGTGTGGCAATCTGACAGAGGGGTGGTGGAGGCTGGTTCATTCTCTATGGTGGGGGGTCATCCTGTGTACCGTGGGGGGTTGAGCAGCACCCCTGACCTCCACTCACCCCACCCCACCGTCAGGACAACCTAACATGTCTCCAGACGTCGCCAGGAATAAAACCACCCCAATGGAACCACGGTTTTCAACTCAAACGTGCAGATGAGTTAGGAGGCGTAGATTGTCATGGGTCCTCGTGTCTAGATAGGGAATTTCTCTTGCCCGCCTTCCCCTACACCACCCCTCGCTCTTGGCTTCTCAGGGTCCCCAACCACCACTGTGGGCCAGGAGAACGGCAAGATTCCCCTGGTTTTTGATTGCCCAGTTGGAGACTTGCCGTCGCTGCGTGTAACTTCAGGGACCTGCCAGGCCAGGCCAAGCCAGCCCGGGAGCTCACCCTGATCATCATCCCCGTTGGACCCCAGGCTTCCTCCAGGACTCGGTTCCGTTCCCTTTTTGGAACCGTTCTTCTTCTTCTTGTAACAGATTCCTTGTTGTTAGAATCACTCCGTGCTGCAGAGTCATTTCCAATGTCCAGCCACTCTCTGTATAACAGAATGTGACACCGGCTGGTCCTGCCACCAGCCTCCCAGTCACTCTTCTCTCTGAGCCCATCCCTGCAGCCACTGCCCGGCCAGCTCACGGAGGTGCTTCTGCATTTGCCCTCACCCTCCACATTACCGAGCATGGTTCTCCTCAGAGACCGCTCCCTCCTGACCACGTGTCCAAGACACGAGACAAAGTCTCACCATCTCCCTTCTAAGGAGCGTTCTGACTGGATGTGTTAGTCCGGGTACTTTAGAGAAACAAATCCACAGAAACTCATGCATAAGAGGGAGTTTTATAGAAAGGTTAAGTGCACATCAAGAAAACATCCCAACCCAGTGCTGCCCAAGCCCACAAGAACAGTAAGCCATTAACCCATATGTACAACACCAATCCACAAAGTCCTCCTCCATCTCACAAAACACACCCAATGATACTGACTGCAGGAGGAAAGCCGAGTCAGTGAATGTGTAAGCATCTCAGCGCTGGCAGGGGTCTCCACACCACTGCTCCAGCACCCAGGGCTGCATCAGGGTAGGTCCATGTGACTTCTCCTCAGGGGTGTCTTGCAGGAAGTGAGCCTTGCCAGCTAAATCAGGAAACTGGCTAAGGCAGCTGCACCCTGATCCAACCATCAGAAAGCAAGAGACCAGAGAACTAGAAAGGTGAGGCTCACCAAGCCATTTATCCCTCCGCCCTTCAATTACCCCCACATGTGTTTACCGGCCAGGTTGGCACAACAAACTACCTCCCTCTCTGGACTTCTTCCAAGACAGGTTTGTTCATTCTTCTGGTATACGTCCATCTGTATACTCAGTATTCTTTGCCAATCGCATGATTCAAGCGCGTCGATTTTTATAGGCTGACTCCGGTATGGTTCACATACTGTGAGTTCCGCCAGTGAACTTTCACCAGTGAAAGTACACATTTCAAGGACGTTTAAAACACGTACCGTGTTGTGCAGCCACCATGCCCGTGTCGTTCCAGAACATTGTCATCACCCCACCTCCCCCAAGGAAACTCGCGGCCTCATTAGCTATCACTCGTCATCGCCAAGCCCTAGCCAACCGCCAATCTGCTTTCTGACACTATGGATTTGTCCCTTCTGGAGACTTTTTGGAAATACAACCAGACAAGGTAGGATCCCTTGGGTCTGACTTTTCACCGAGGACGGTGTGGTGTGACTCATCCATCTGCTAGCATGTTATCAATGCTTCGTTCCTTCTTTTCTTGGCCTGTTATTCCATAGCGTGGCTCCACCATTTTATTTATCCATGTTCTGATGGCTTGCGTCTACCTTTGGGCCCTGGTGAATCGTGCTGTCCAAAAGGTGCACGTGGAGTTTCTGGGAATTCGCTTCCTTACTGCATTCCATTCAACAGTTTACGGTCTAATTCTAAGACTCTTGTTTTTGAGTTTCTCTTTAGATCTGCCCTTTAAAGCCACACCCCTCGGCTAGACGCCCAAGTAGAAGTATGGGATGTCCCCGGGGGTGCCCAATGTGAACGATGTAGCAGTCAGAAGACCCCCGGGCCAGGCCCCTCAGCTGCTCCACCTGTCCCAACTTCCACCTGCCTCAGGGCCTTTCCACCTGCTCAGCCTTCTCGGGTGCCCTCCCCAGACCACAGCCAGTCTCGCTCCTTTTTCCTCATGTCTGTCCTCCACCCAGCCTCTGCGGCCTCATTTGATTTCCGTTCTCGTGATTTGTTGAGTGGTTTTCTCCCCCTGGAGAGTGTGGGCTCCACAGGGGCAAAGGCTTTGGGGTGTCCACTCCTTGTCCCCTGCTGGGTCCCCCATACCCAGGAGGTGTCTGGCACATAGAAAGAGGATGCTAAACATAAGGCAATTGTAAAAGTCGGTTATTAGGGGTCGAGACCCGTGGGTGGCACAGATGGAAAAGCACTCAACCCCTTGCTGAGAGGTTGGCAGTTCAAACCCCACCCAGAGGTGCCGCGTGAGGAAGGCCTGGTGATCTGCTGCCTACCAGTCCCAGCCTTGCAAACCCTGTGGGGCACAGTTCTGCTGCAACCGTGGGGCCGTCGTGAGTCAAGTCGATGGCAACGAGCAAGAACAGGATTCCAGGAGGCGGAACGTGGTACAGGAAACACGTGACAGGGTCAAGAGGAGCCTGGCTGACATTACATGGTGTGTGGGGAGGGTGCTTTTTTTTTGGCACCCTAGTGGTCTGTGTTAGGCCAGGTTGACTAGAGAAATAAATCCAGAGACACTCATTTATGTGTAAAAAAGAGCTTTATATCAAGAAGTCATTGTATATTAGGAAAACATCACAGCCCGGTCCGGAGCAAGTCCCTAAGATCGGTACTTGTCCATCAATCCCTCTTCAGACTCACACAGCCACAAGCAAGCATGCAGAATACAGGAAGAGCACCAGCCGGTGGGTGCAAAGTCTGAAGGATCCGATAGTGGTGGACGCATCTCCAGGGCTCTGGCAGGTCTTCAAGTGACTCGATGTCAGGAAGGTGGAGGCAGAGAGAGGGCGGAGCTTCCTGGGACCCTCCTATGACAAAGTCCAGCTCACAAGGAGGTACCATCCGGCTGTGACCTGATGGACAGGCTAGAATCACCCCTACACTTTCATACCTTCATGTTGACACGAAATTCTACAACTGCCACAGGCTCCAAGTTACATATTTGCTCCTTGATACTTCTTAAAATATTCTCTTGTGATCCGGATGAAGGCTTACAGATTATTGAGTTTCACTTTCAACAACGGATAGACTTTTTTCCCCATACTCATCCATTTCAAGGTACCCTTCCTTTGTCTCATCACTTATCCCGCTTCCCCCAGTGTATATCCTGTTTCCAATCCCCATCCTTTCCTAACCCTGGTCCTGGGTAAATGGCGCCCCTTTGATCTCAATGGTCCATTATTCTAACACTGGAGTAAGTTCAGTGACTAAGGGCCAGTCTTGGGGTCGGGGTGGGTGGGCTCCAGTCTCTATCCAACCAGCAAGCCTGGTCTCTTTTCTGATTTTGAGTTCTCCACACTTTTCTCCTCTCTATTCAGGGCCTTCCAATGTGCTCCTTATCAGAGCCATTGATAGTGGGAGCCGGGCACTGTCTAGTTCTTCTGGTCTCGGGGTTGTGGAGAGCAATGTCTGCGTGGTCTCAGCCCACTGCATTCATTGTTCCCATTGTCATCATTCTTACTTCCTCTGGGAGGGGAAGGACCACTGGTTGCACCTTAGATGGCTTCTCATGAGCTGGTAAGACCCCAGGATTTGGAACATTGTCTTTGCCAACTGTGTTATGCCCATTGGCCTTGGTGTCCCCGAGACTATGGTCCTGACTCTCCAAGGCCTAGCAACTTGTTCCCCAGAGTCCTACCCCAAAAGGGTCCATCTAAGAAACCGTCATAACGTTGCCTTGCTAAGAAGAGGACATGTGTACAAAGTATGGAAGTCGGTGAGGGAGAAGCTGTGTGGAGATCCAGGGAGAAGCTTTCCAGGCAGAGGGGACAGCCCAGTGCAAAGGCCCTGAGGCTGGGCCATGCCTGTCATGTTTCACAATAAAAGCCCGCAATGATACTTTCATTTAGGGCTGACTCCCAGGCCCCCTCACGTCCCACTTTTACATCCCAGGAAATTGAGGCTCAGAGGGGGGGGGTGTCTACTTCCCAGGCTCACCCAACAGAACCTAGGTGGTGGGCATGGATGGAGCTGGACAAGTGGAGGAAGCAGCCTCATGGCTCAGAGAGGGGGGCCATTGTCCCCAGCTTCAACTACAAGCCACCGGCTTCCTTGCTCTTAGACAACTGCCAGGTAGAGTCACTTGGGGTTGAATGGGCCCAGTAGGACCCACTCACAGCCTGACCCTGTTCCAGGTGCCATCGGGGAGCCCAAGGTCACTTCAGCCCAGCACAGACACCCTGAAACGGCCTGAGGTAAGTGCTTGTAAGGGTTTTTGGGGCGCAAAACGGAATTAAAGATCCAATTGGTAAAGTTTTAGAAGCAGGCTTTATTGAGAAGCTTGCGGGCGGGTTCAGCAACTCAGGTATTGAGCTGGTGAAACTGCGCGAGGGGAATTTCTGGCTGCGTTTTTATATCCCCTGGTGGCAGGCACAGCTGCACACAGGGGCTTCAAAGGGAAGCGCTCATTAATCTTATCTATAGGTCCGGGATGGGTGGAATAAACATATCTTCAAAGGATGCAGGGAAGTGGATCTGGTTCTCAGAACTGGTGATTTTCAGCGAGGGGAGGGGAGGCCGATGTGAGGGAGGCCCATGAGAGGTGAGTTCTGAGAACCAAGAAGGTGCCGGATTCAAAATGGAGTCCCTTGTGCCAAGACCAGGCAGTGCTGACATTCACATAGACCTTCAACAAACCGGCCTTGGCTGGAAGCCCACTGGGTGCTGAGCGCCGGGAGCCCTTTGGGTTAGGGGGCTGTGTGGGTGCTGTTTTGCAGCTGAGGAAACCGAGGCTCTGAGGACACAGCCAAGAAGTGGTAAGAGTGGAGGTGCAAACCGAGAGGGGTGAGTTCCTGCCGCTGTGCTCCTGGAATGTTCTGGGCCTTCCTGGGTGAACAACTCCGCGTTTGCTGAGTGAGGCGGACCTCCTCGGAGTCAGGCTGCAGGTCTGACTCCTCAGGTAGATCCTCAGGTCAGGGAGTCAGCGCAGACACCATCCTTCCAGGCAGAAGGGATGCCCGGAAAAGGGGTCTGAAGGACAGGACCAGGACGTGGGAAAGAATAACTTCCAGAAGGGGACGTTCGAGCTGCCGTTTTGAGGGATGCGTATGAGTTTGCCAGACAGAAAGCAACACTGCTATTCATGAATTCATCAAATTCTTCCTCTCCTTGTCCCTGCTTCGTGCTGGGCATTGCTAGGGCCCCGAGGAGCCCCTAGTCTAGGAAAGAGTAAAGCCAGTCACCGTGGCTGAGAAATCAGAGGGCTCACCAGAGGAAGAACCATTCGAGATGGGATTTAAAGGAGGACGGGAATTGGCCAAGGAAGAATCTGAGCTCAGTTTAAGACTTGTTGAGTCTGAGGGTGGTCTTTGAGGACCCAGGGGCCAATCTTAGGACAGAGGATCATTAGATACACAGGAACCCAGAGCTTCCTGGAAGGGCAGGTGAAAAGGGGAACAGGAAATTCCCAGCCGCTCTCGGCTGAATAGCGGGGACTTTCCGGGCTCCTTCAGGGCAGTGCATTCACCCTGGGGGATGCTGTGGGGTCTGCTCTGATGTGCGGATGTGGGAAGGACCAGGTTGGGTGAGGAGGTCCAGGGGCTACTGAGTCTGGGGGAGCCGACCCACCTTTGTGTCTCCCTGTCACAGTGGCTGCTCTGTCAGGTGAGGTGGTGGCAAAACTATGTAACCCCCAACAGGTTCAGAACCCACATAGGTGCTGGAGAGGATCCTGTGGGGGACTAATGGGGTGCATCTCATCTTTTGCCTGAGTGCAATGAGGTGTGTGGAGGTGTGGGGGGGTGAGTATCCGGGGCTGCCAGGGCAAAGCACCACAAATAGAGGCAGAATCTGTCTGCCACCGTCTGGGGGCCAGAGGCCAAAGTCAAGATGTCAGGCAGGGCACACACACCCCTCCAGAGACTCTGGAGGAAGGGGTCTTCGGGGCTCCTCCAGGCATCTGTGTGGCCACTTTACACCAGTCTCCACCTCTGAGGTCACACCGTGTGTGTGTGTGTGTGTGTGTGTGTGTGTGTGTGTGTGTGTGTGCATAATTTCTCTCTTTTTCTATATGATTTTTATCATAGCAATGCTTGTTTCTAGCTGTGCAGAAAGTAGACTCAGCTCTGGGTTCTGCGTATTTGCTGATCTCACGTAAGTGAGATCCTGCAGGATTTGTCCTGGGGCGACTGACTTCCTCCGCTCCGTGTGACGCTTTCAAAAGCCGTCCAGCAGGGTGGCAGCATTAGGACTTCATTTCTCCGTACGGCTGAGAAGAGTGTGTGGGGCGTGGATGGACCGCGTGGCGTCCCACCAGGATCCCTGGGCGTCCCTGCCTTCACTTCTCCAGGCAGACAGCTGGGAGAGGGACGCCGGGTCGCTTGTAGTTCTCTGTTGGACTTGGAGGAGCTCCCAAGGGTTTCTCCACAGGGCTTATCTGCTCCTTGCGGACACTGGCAGGCTAAGGGAACCCTTAGTGGATTAGAACCCGCCTTCCCGTGGTAGGGTTTCATGTTAGCCTAATCCAGCAGTCCTCAACCTGTGGGTCTCGACCCCTTTGGGGGTTGAATGACCCTTTCACAGGGGTCGCCTAAGACCATCAGAAAACACCTGTTTCCCATGGCCTTAGGAACCGAGACCCCGCTCCTCTATCTGTCTCCAGGAGGGTCCCCCCACATGCAGATACGCCCACAGATGAGTACCGGGTGTGAAGACTGTTACCCACGCTACACCATGCTTCAAGATGAAAGTTCATTGATTTGTCATTAGAAATAAATATTTCACAATCTAGAATGACATTGTTTTTGTGACTCACCACTCTGCTTTGATTGTGTTCCATTTGTAACAATGATAATACATCCTGCCTATCATATGTACATGACGAGTCATCGCAGTAGCAAAATGACTGTGATGAAGCAGCAACGAGAATCATTTGATGGTTGGGGGTCACCGGGGCATGAGGAACTGGATGAAAGGGTCGTGGCCCGAGGGAGGTTGAGAACCACTGAGCTAACAGCATCTGCGAAGACCCCCCACCCCCCACCCCCCTTCAAGCACTTTCACATTCCCAAGAGGGCCACATAGCATTTGGGGGGCACACACTTCAACCCCTAACGGCTGCCATTGTTCTCTGCAGGAGCAGTGGGGGGGGCCTCTCTCAATCCCCAGTCCGACTCGGAATAATGTGGATCCGGATCTCGGAGGCCAAGGTGGCCCTGGCCTTGGCTCTCAGCGCCTTCACCCTCCTCTTCCTCGTCATCCTGCCCGCCTCACCACCCACCTGCCTGGGCCCAGTAGAGCCGCCTCATCTCCCCAAGGTCCTGGGGACCTGGCGGACGCAGGCCCAGCGCCCGCGGCCTGCCCGGTGCCTGGCGAACACCTCGGTGGTCTCGCAGCCAAACTTCACGGAGCAGCCGCCGCACGTGCGCGACTTCCTGCTGTACAAGCA